ATAAACACTGTTTGATAATATTTAAATTCACATCAGCATTGCTAAGAACTTGTCAGAAGATTTGGCATTTTCCCGTGGCAGACAGGGATTGAAATCCCTGCAGTGGCAGTTTACTGGATTCATGCAGAAAGAAAAGAACATAAAAGACCATGCATTTTAAAGCCAGTTTGGCCAATTCAGAGATGGAAGAGAAATCTTATTGCTCAGTGGAGAGCAAAGTCAAAAACTGCTCTCTGGAGTCAAGCCAGTCAGTTCAGTTACATCTACATTGTAAGTTATGTATGAGGATAAACTTCTTCTCAGTTCATCTCACTTCCCTCCTCACCCCGCAACTCATTTATACACAAGAACATGCCCTGTCACAGACAAGGCCATGATCAGCGTTTACCAGGGGATGGGAAGATGTTCAAGCACCCACACAGCATGTAAGCACAGGTCCAAGCTCCTGTTGACAGACTGGGAAACCCAGTACCTCAGCAAAATCCCTGAATTTAAAGCACTGTATTAACGCTTTCAACTCAAGTTTAAAGGCATGCCAAGAGCTAGCAACTTGAGTAGAGTGCATTTTGATTGCCTCATACCATGTCCACCATGCAAGCTTGCCCTTCACCTCACAAGGAAAAAAACACTCCCTCTAAAAGTACACATTAGACATTTACAAGGGCATGTAGTAACAGCTTTCAATTGGAAGATGGGATAGATTAGACATTAGGAGGAAATTCTTCACTAGGAGACTGGTGAGACTGGAACAGGTTGCCCAGGGAGGTTGTGGTTGCCCTCTCCTTGGAAGCGTTCAAGGCCAGGTTGGATGGGGCTGTGAGCAACCCGGGCTAGTGGCAGGTGTCCCTGCCCATGGCAGGAGAGTTGGAACTATCTAGTTCCATTCTACGATATGATTCTGTGATTTTTGCAACGCCTCACTCTTCTGAAAGGTAAATTTGCTCAACTGCCATAGAGTCAGACACTAGAGACTCACACCTACCTTCCTGACATCCAAACACAGGGAATTTTATCTTGGCTGGTGCCTGTGGAAAGCCAGGGGGGCTTTCAGGCAGGAGGTGGGTAAAACAGGTCTGACAATGCAGAACTGGCTTTTTGTCAAGTACCTGTCAAAGACCTCAGCCAGGCACAGAGAAATGGGCTCTCCCTGCACAGAGAGGGAGGAACAGGGCAGACAGTGCACACAGAGGCAACCCACAGGTGAGAAGGCAAACAAAGCAATGGGAAATCACTGAACACCATGCACATTATCATGTCAAAAAACGGCAGGAGAGGAAGAAGGGAAAGCTATTTTAAGTCCTACATTCCTTTCACTGTCCAAAGGCAATGTGTGTTAAAGGTGTAAATTTTGAGGAGGAAGTGGTAAGCAGGGGAAGGAGGTAAATTATTTTGCCTGTTTCTTGCAGATCCAAGTCATGGAGTGTTTTTTGAGCTCTTCACTTGTATAGACTCTAACCAGAACAGGCAAGCTCTGCACAAGCTATTTTTTTGATCTACAAAATGTATGTTCCCCAGAAAGCAGGTGAACCCAACATCACACGTAAGAGTTGTCCTCCTCCAGACTTCCTCATAAATTGCATGAACAGGTAAAAAGCTCTCAAAGAAACCTGCTTACATTTAAATAACACTGAAAGAAATAAACTCGTTAGTCAGTTACCTAGGTTTGATTGAAAAATAATCTATAATGGTCTTTTGCAAAATATGTAAGAAGATAAATCACACACTTTTTCCTTTCTTTCCTCATGATCTCCCCCTCTGTAGAAGGGAGCAAGCACTACATTAAATGGCCTGCTTGGAAAACCTGAGAAAACTGGCAAACCTTCAAGCCAATGTTAAGCATAGGAGAATGTGCCTGTCCATGGTTAAATACAGACACCATAGAGAGGGAAGCGTTACTCTGTAACAAATAAAGTTTTTTTTAATGAAAGAGCAGTGACTGAACTGTATAAATATTTGACATTCATGTTGTATGAAGCTGATTTGCATCTAAATAGTTTGGTCATTATTAAATGACAGTTGGAATTCCTGCATTAGACTGACTCAACAAAGTAATTGTTGAGTCTCACAGTAGTGAGAAAATAACCTTTTAAGAGACCTCACTTCACCATGTTTAAATACCAGACATGTGACTTTGTTCTCTGCTGCGGCCCAAGGGAATGCCAGCACATGGATCAAAAGAACCCATCATTGAGGATGCAAAATAATTGTGTAACAGATAAACTGACAAAAGCAATTTGAGCTCAAAGTTTACCCAGCTTGAAATTCTTCAGCCTATTTTAGGAACATTTACATAAATGGCCAAAAAGGAGGAGTAAATTTCAAAAAAAAGTTTGCTTATTGCACTTTCCTAGACCACAGAAAAAAGACATTTTTCTTGAAATATCGCTTTACTTACTTAAATTAAATATCACTGTAATATTTTTTAACTACCTTTGCTATGATTATGGTATGTTTTTTTACAAGTTGAAAGTTTATACCAGGATGCAATGTGAGTGTTACTCCTTTTCATTCTCAGCACTGAGGAAACTATTACTTATAAGCCAGACAACTGAAGATTAAGAGAATTTCAGCTGAAGCCTTTTGCAACCAATAGACTGAAAATGCAGACTATTTAGTGACTAGTATTAACTGACACGTAGTTTTGCGGACTAAGAATTTTATCTCAGGTATAAGGCTGATTAAAAAACCCCAAACTACAGAAATAAAATCCCCAAATTATGAAAACAGGGGGGAAGCAATCAAGTATATAAAATATTTTTTCCATAGACTGCCCTAAATACCTTTATACAAGGGTAAGCATATTAGAAATGTTACAGCAGAGGACGGGCCCATTTTATGTTATTTTCAAAGTCATATGAGTCAAAATAGTTTAGATCATTAAAACAGAATCAGACCCATTAAGGAAGAAATAGGCATGCTGCAGACTTGTTTCTGTTGAACAAGTAGGTGTGCAAACGTATAAAGCCACCTGCTGCTAACCCAGCCCCCCCATTCAGAAAAAGCAAGGTAAGAAAATAACTAAGCATTTTTTCAAATACCAGCCTTACCAAACAACTTGTGGGAGCTGACTGAGCTAGAGAGACAAAGAAAGAACTTATTTCCCATGAACAACCAAGTTGGAAAGGTCCTCACAAGACACTAGGCAATAAGTAAAGTGGTATTTCAAGAACAACAATCTCCTTTTCCTGTGGGCTAGGAAAGTGCATTATCCCACATGTCTAAAATTTTCAAGAATTTTCCTTGTGGCACACCCACATTATCTCCTGTTTATACGTGAAGGGCACCCAATAAAATTGTCGTGTGGCAAAAAAAATAATTACCCTCTAAGTCAAGTTGTTAATAACTCTAAGCACATGACAGAAGAAGAATCAGCATGTTTTGTTTTAAACACAAGCTGTCCTCTTAAAATACAGGGTCTGCCACACAGCAATAGTTCAGAGTCTGGCCTCTCAAAATCTTTACAGCTGCTTCTCAGTTCACTAAGGATTAAACAATACTGACAAAACTCTCAATCACACACACACAGACAAGCTGGTAAAAGATGTTCAGTGGTTCTCATTTTACCATGCCTCTTTTTCCCTTTATATTCCCTTACATTACATACATTCTACAGTGTCTTCCAAATTGCCAAAATGAAAATATGTCTTGTTTATGGTGCTGCCAAAAAGCCAACATTTCTTAAGTTTCTGTCCTCCAGAAATACTAAGGGCTATACCACACTGTCATGTGGAAGAAACTCTAGGTGAAGGCTGGTTACGTTTTTTTTTCCAAGCACTTAGCAAACTTCACCTTGTGGTTCATGGCAACACACAGCCTGTAACACACTCAAGATGTGCTTGTGGCCCCAAGATTTCAAAATTGTATCAGTAAGAGCAAAGAATGCTGCCCAAAGCACAGCCCTTGCAAATTCTGAATTCACTCACCAGATTCTCCTTTCTCATGCCCTGGTGACAACAGTACTGTGTGACAATCCACTATGACAGTGCATTACTCATAACCAATTCCACATTTTTTAACTGTATGCAAAAACTCAGGCAGGGTTTTTAACTGCATCTATACGTTTCCATTAAATACTATAAATCCACTACTGTTAATTCAAGAGATCCTAAAGCTTATAATTATGTATGTCTATAGAAATAACTATAACTCACAACTTTTAATTCTGCTCAGCAGGTAGTGCTAATGTCTCCAAAGCAATTTAACAAAATTAAAAAAAAACATATTAAAGAAATCAATTGATCACAAATAATACTTTCTGGCACGACATAAACAACCTGTAACTCTGCATTATCTGTTAAGCATATGACTTCGTATGTCGTTTCCATTTCCATTTTATTTCCATGACATTAATGTACTACAGTTCTTTGCAAAACGTTGCATAATACACACACAGTACCATTTTACATATTAGCACTTTCAAATGTATTCCATGACAGCTCCTTTTGCCACATTCATATGACCATTTAAAAACCTTTCAGTTACTGATTTAATATCATTATTTTTTCTCCCCTAATCTAATCAACATGCCCAGTAAGATCTAGTAGTTCCTGTAAGATCTAGTAGTTACTGTAAAAAGTACAGCTCCATGAAGCATGTGTTCACATTGTTTGGTACAGTTTTATATTCTTCAGAAACTGTTCAATTATATTAGCAATAATGCTTACAAAACAGAGAACTTTCTAGTTTTATAGCATCTTCTAAAAGTACTTTTGAAATAATCTCAACTTCCAGCTCACTAATGTTTCTGCAGAATGCTAAAGGGAGGAGCAGGGAAGAGCTATAAATACAAGCTTCATTCAGAGGGTATCATTCATTGTACTTCAGAAGGCACTATGGGAGAAAAATGAAGATGAGACACATATAATAATAAAGATGAGGCACATTTAACAGTTGTAAGAGCCCGTATCTGTTAATCTTCCTCCAAAATATATGAGGATACTTATCTCCCTCTTTAACTTTGGTTTCAAACAAACTACGGAGATAGCCAAGGACTCAAGGACTGCATTTATAGAAGAAACACAGATCATGATGGCCATTACAGTACACTTCATCTTAATGCAAAAATGCATCCAGTTTCTTTTTGATATGTTCAAAAGCATCTTTCCCCATATAGTCCATACGTCCCTCCTCCCATTTTCTCCGTTCATCTTCAGGACTTCGTTCTTCTGGTTTGAAGTGAATAGACAGCTCTGAAACAAAATGTACGACCTCATTCTGTGGGAAGAAACACAACAGTGAGAAAACAAGTCATTTGGTTGTTTTCATTTCAGTGCTGTGAAGTTAAACCTTAAATGTCAAACTTCTGCTTTGTGCAGTCCCAATTAAAACCATAAAACAGTATCCAAGCATTCATTCTTCTTTTGGTAATGTGGATCTTTTTCTCCCATGTTTACATGACTTGTCATTGCATCTTTGAACATCCCAGATATTGATTTTACTTGTCTTAACTCACTTTGGCATATTCAGCAATGATACAATAAGAATATCACAAATATGGCCTGGTTAGCACAGAGTATCTAATAATAAAGTGTAACCTGTATCTGTGCTAATTTTTCAACAGGCTTTCACTTGAACCGAAGTTCCTAGAATTTTTGGTCTTTCTTTTTATCTGATTTCCAGTGAGATCAGTATTAATTACCAGATATGAGTCACATTAACCACATAAGTTAATTCAAAAGCTTAACTCCATTAATTATACCAATAACTAGTTCATTTTGAACGATGGTCCAGAACTTTGAAACGTGGTTCATAAGTGCACAAATGGAAGATGTATTATTAGTGTCAACTGGAACATACCCACAATTATAACCAGCAATAAAGATTAAATATAACAAAGACTAATCAAGGTAAAACCTGCTTTCAGCACTACTTCATGAGGCTCTAAGGCAAGCAACTCATCTCACGTTATAAACAAAATTTCAATCAACTAGAACAGCCTTCCAGTAAAGCCCTCACAAATTCAATATAAAAAATATTTCAGAATAGAACTTAATGGGCAGTAATCAGTAGCTTAAACTGCTTAAATGCCCTAGAGTATCCATTATATCTGCTGATTTGGGGCAGATACAGCACAGGACTCGTGCAAGACCTGTACCTGCAGGTAAGATAATTCAAACAGCCACATAATAGTATATGCTTAGGCAACTGCATCCTTCCCTATGTACCCCCAACTCTGTACATGACTTAAAACATTAATAAATACCCTGAGGAGAAGTTTTTTTATCATGTTTTTTTAGAAATGAAGAATTTTAGCTAGGGCCCAAAACCCTTGTCTGCACAGGAGCTACAATTTCACCGACAATTTTGTTTCTCAGTCTGAAAGTATTTCACTGTAGTGCTTCACAATCATAAAAAGGCCTCACTAAGAAAATGGCTGTGCTGCTAACCTTCAAAGATACAACTCCCTGAAACCCTGTCACCCCCATCAATGCTAAGTCTGGCACTGCTATCACACTGCCCACAGATAAATGCAGTTCAGAATCACAAGGAAAACCTAGAAGCTTAGGCTCCATGCCTGACTCAATGTGCATTCATTTTCCACCTGCCTGGAAACAACAGTTCAGCAGATGAAAAAAAAATAACAAAATACAAAAAGGGCAAAACAGAACAACAAATTAATAAACCAAACAGCTTGGCTTGTATTAGTATCACAGAGCTAAAATTAACATCATGCATTTATCACTTGGGAACTACCACAAGAAAATATACATTTAAAACTAGAAGGTTTTAAGACAAAACTAGTATTGGAAGCAGTTAAGGAATTACACAGCTAAAAGATTAAAAAAAATATTATTTGCACACTGCATCATAATTAGTTGAGATTTCCCAAAATTATGTTGGCACCAAAGACATGCATGCAGTGATCAACAGGTGTACAATGCAAAAAGCTACATGTACCAGTTCTGAGGTTTCCTGAAACGCAGGATCAAATACAAGTTGTTCTGAAGGTCTGTCAGGCTCAGAGAGATGGACGTTAGAATCACTTTGTCCAACTTCACATACAGGTTGCTAAAATACAGCCACTGAGGTTTTATTAGGAACACATATTTTTCATAGTTTCCTTATAATGAAAATTCGTGCAATACAAATTGACTTCATTCTTGGGGTAGAGGACGGTGGTGGATGAGAGGGAAAGGACCAAAACACATCACCACCAAAGCCAAAATTCATCTCACCTCACTTCAGCTATCAAAATGGCACTGAATCTAAGCTCCTACTATAATCAATCTAGGATAATGTACCTCCAGAGGGCAATTTTTCTCATCCTAAAATAAGTTCAAGAGTGGTTGTCATTCTTCAGTGACTACAGAAACAGCCTGGAAAGCTTCCTTACAGTAGATGCCTACCATTCACAAGGCCAAATGTCAACAAGACAAAAATCACATTTTAGGATAATGCTGTACAACTCAGGAGCTTTCTATATGTATAGAATAAGAACACAAAAATTAATTCCAAAATAGAGGTAAAATCGATTGTTCAAAACATACTATCCAAAATATTTGCTTTTGCCAGGTATCAAAATGTAAATTGGTGGACAGACCCCATACTGAAGTCTTTTCTGCCAAAACCAAAACAATCCCACAAGACTACTGAAGCTAAGCAGAATGATGGTTTTCCTAAGCAAGGACATAATAAAACTATTAATTTCTAATGAATATGATCTTCTGATAAATCAATCCTTGTAATTAAAAGATAAAAGTGATTTTAATTTTAATGACACTACTTTAAGTGAACCTTATGATTTTTTTACCACACACAAATATCTTGAAAATGTGCCTATATTTGTTCTGAGTATTTCCAAATGAGTCAGATGTATGAGGCATACAAGATAACACATCCTTTGCAAATAAACCATTCTGAAGTCATAGAGCTGGAAGATCTGCAGTTTTCCTTCAGCCCCTTCACACTCAGGGTGGAAAAGGAAGGAAGGAAGGAAGACTATGGTTTTAATACAGAGCAACTGTATCATTAAGGGATGGAGCACTGCACTTAATAAAAACAGTCTTCATCTTACTAGATCAGTCCACAAGTTAAAACAGCAGATGACATTAGAAAATTCTTTCCTCCCAGTTACACTATGCTGGAGCATGGCTTATCAAACAGTATGCAATGACTTACACTTGCAGAAACACTGTGCTGCTATGTCCAGCTTAATTCCTGCACAAAATAAGGGGAGTCAGAGCAACAGAAACTCCTAAATGCAAACACCGAGATACAAGAAGAGTGACAAAAGACCCAGGACCCCTGAGATGTTCATCAGTGGATTCTTAAAAGAAACTCCTTGTTGACCAAATGACAAGAATTTAAGAAACAGTTTTCAAGTCAACAGTTCTGGGGGGAGGAATCTACAGAAGAGTGATTGAAAGAATTTTTGTTTTAAATATATTAATTCACAGTATTACTATTCAAAACATAACATTGGTAACAGATATTTTTATATTCCTTTTTATTAAGTACTTAACAACTTCCAATAAGTTGTTTCTTTGTAAAATTAAATGCAAACTGTTTCAATCTCCAGAGACAAAATGCATACTTGACTAAAGATTAAAGAAAATAAATACTATTTAGACTATTTCTGATGCTAGTGAAAAAATTCAGTAGCTGCAGCTAAACTGAATAAGATACAATCTCCCATATCAGAAGGGTAATTTTAAAATCTCATTTTAGCATATCATTTCACTTTGTGACTGCATATAGTAATGTAAAACATACTTACAACTTTAGAAGTGAGTTCCTCGGGTGAACACACTGTGGGATATATTTCATATGTCTGTTCTGGAAGCACAGGCATTTGCAGCGAATTGGCCACAGAAGGACTGACCTTTTTCAGTGTAATTTCAACTCCATTGAAAGTGTGCTAACAAAAACAAGAACATTTCACCACTGAAATACAATTTAGCAGGAAATTTATCTTATTTATAACAGTTTCCCTTCCTTAAGGTATATATAAAAGGAATAAGTTAATGAATTAAAAAATGTTGTGGTCCCAGATTCAGGGCATGTTGCAATTTAGATTACTGCACTTGTGAGTAGGCCAGCATCATCAAGAGGTAAGTCTAACAGGTATTTCTACCTTCATGTTACTATAACTGAAATATTTCTTTACTTCACATTTTCCTAAAAATGAAAGCATATTGAAGTATGAGATAAAAAAAACTACCCGATTCCACTTTCCAATTCACCATGAGGTTAACAAATTAAATCCCTTTCTGGGGCTCTGATGGCAATTGTCCAGCTGATCTTATGCAATTAGTTCAATGATGGTAATAATCTAATATCTAAAAAAATTCATAGTTACATATGCATAAGAGTGATCTAAATTGTCACATCTGGATACAAAATCAAAAATCATACTTCTACTCATTATTTTATGCTGCTGGTCTCTGAGAAATCATTGTATTCAGGGAAACCATACATTGCTGCACTTCCTTTGAAGGAAAAAGAAAGGTATAAAGCGCTGAGTAAATGATTGATGACATCTAAGCACTGTATATAACAGCCTAAGTGTGATGCCTTGCCAAATCTGACTTATTTGTTATGACCCTCAGAAAACAAGTTACAATGCAGTTCTGAAAAGGTAAATTTTACTACAGTTCAAGGGCTAGTTTGATGGCCTACATCAACTAGGCCTCAAAAAGTCAAACGTTTGTTTCATAGCCAGGTTATCACCTTCTCTGGCTAATTCATATCACACTTGGTATTGTAATTTGCAGAATTTATACATACACATCCCCATACAAACGCTTCCTCAATTAAGAAGGGGGCTGGGAGAGACCTTTGAAAAGCCAATAGTATTAAAAATCCTTCCTAAAATGCTAGTTTAGATACTTCCAGAAGCAATCCCTGCTACTGCAAATCAACAGATACTAATTTTTCCCACGCAATTCCTTCTGCTAGCAAACACATAATTTTCAGAATTTTTCTTGTGATTCCAGCCTGCTCCCATGAGCTCCATATTAATTACCTTGTATTCCTCAGATTCTGGTTCTTCCATCTTTTGAAGTTTTCCTAACAAAGGCAATATACTGGCACTGTATATATTCCACCAAAGGGCAAGAAATGGCAGCTGATTGAAAGATCCAGAGGTGGTGCCATCCTGCATAACTCTCTTTGTTTGAAGGTTGTATTTGTAGTTCCAGGGCTTTGTTGCTCCCAAGAAGTGAACAACTTTGGCATCTCTACCAAAACTGTAGAGATTAAACATACAGGCACATATATTAAATATTTGGGGGTTTTCAGCCTACATAAACTGGTAAAGAAACATTCTTACTCTCACTGGTGAGGTAATTTCCATATGTTGCAACAGCAACACATTCAGTATGAGTATATATATTAATATTTTTTCTGTCTTATTAGTTTAAGGTATTCTGTTTGGCACACAGAAAACAAAAGGTTGTATTGCTATTTGCTTCCATCTGCTGATTCTAGTAGAAAAGTTCATGAAGAAAAATGACAAGCTTATGCAGTACTATTTTCATTCCTCCTGCATATTCTCTTCAAAAACAAGTATCATTCAAAGACTGAATCAATAAAATTGGCCATTACCGATCCCATATTCAAATGGCCAACTAATAAATCAACCTAAGTTCACTTTCCAGTGTTTTGTGCAACTGGAACAGTAATTCATGAAACTCTAAATCCAACTTGCTGTCTGCCAGAAAAGTTACTCTGATTGCATTGTCTGAAGTCATACAATTACTACCACAAATTTTGTTTAATGGAAGAACCTAATAAATTGTTAACAATCAATCAATCAATCAATCAATCAATCAATAAAAGGCTTCCAACGGTTTCTTATAGAAGGGACTGGAAAAGAAGACAAACTTTCAAAGTAAAGTTGCCAAAATCTAATGCTAAAATAATCTACATATTTTCAAACATGAGAAAAGCTCCTCTGAAACAACATGTAAGACAGTTGGGACTCTGTTTTTCATATTGCATTTACACTTCTACTGCACGTCTTTTACATAACATCATTTGTAACTAACATAATTTATAATCAACAGAATATGCCATTATTATTCTCTCTCATACTAGAATGCTTGTGAACAAATTACAGAGGTTTACAGTTGGTCAGAAGTGTTACTACTTACTGATTGAAAGCAGGAACGTAGGTGTATACAGCACTGCTGCTTAAGTTATAGAGGAAGGGCAAATGTTTGCCAATATCTGCGGTTGCCCAGCTGCTGAAGAAGCTATTCAACAAGCCTTGATCACCTCCTAAAGAATATATAGAAAATATTATGACCATAATTACACATACACTCACATTTACATCAACATTTCACGTCCAAGGATGGGAGTGAGACTGGCGTGTTCATGGGACTTGCAACTTGGACTTGACATTATGGCCACACGAGCAGATACAAGTGAGTAATACCTGATCCACTCCGATGCAAGTTCAGTGTAAATGGAGTCCTAGTGTAATATGTGAAGAAAGGAGTAGGAAAGGGGTTTGGTCTCCCTCAGAGCAGAAGACTGAAGATCAGCTGTATTTCTCTCTCCTAAACCAGACAGCAAAATTAAAACTTACTGAGCAAGACTCAGACATAATGTCCCTTCATTGCACTTTTCTGGGAAGCACAGTTCCCAGTAAGTCAATGGGTCTTAATTACAGCTCAAGGGGCAAAGGTCTGCACCTTAGATTTTTGTGGGGATGCAATTACATAAAGTCCAGAGTGCTCCTGCCTTCCTCCAGTCTGCCAGGTAGCATGGATGCTACAGAAGAAACAGTTTACTGAGAAGAAATCTCATGTCTTGCACTTAATCCCTTATGCTTTGCCCCTTACCATCAAAGCTGCCATGTTCAGCAGCAAACTGGAGCAGGAGGTTGTAAGTTTTCAAAGAAGGTCGGAACACAAATACACCACTGTTAAAGCAGTCAGGCCAGCCAGAATCAGGAGCTGCTGAAAACTCCTCTCGATCAAACAATTCATCGACATTGCAAAGCACCTTAGAGACAGTAGGAAAAGAAAAAAAGAAAAATTGTTAGAGCAAATATCCTTCTAGAATAGGAGTAGCCAAAACAGGAGTAAATTGCTAGTTTGGCCAAGGATAGCGCTTTCAGAGCATAAAAGCAGTAGCTCTGCAAAAAAAGCTTGGGGTTAGAACCTTTATTTTTAATATAATAAAGTAACATTAATTGTGGTTCTCTGTGATTTCTCTGATAAAAGTACAAACTCTGGCAAATTACTTCATGATCCTCAGAGACCTTCCAGAGGGTCCCTTGAAATATTAAAACATAGCATACTTCCATTTTAAAATTGGCCTGCCTTCCATACCAGGTAAGTCCAAATGAAAGTATATGACCGGGAACTACTTTAAACATCTGTCAGAAGGCCATGTGTGCTTGTGATCTCTTTTGAGGACAGTCCTGAGGCTACTCTCAAACCAGAATTTATTTTATTTCTTTGCAGCCAGCAAAACTGTGAGCACTGCCAAAACATACCAGCTGGAGCTCCTGCAACCTTGTGACCACTGGCAAATCTGGTCACTTCAGTGGCCAGCAGGCTGCCTGATGAAGAGGCATCCCACACTCAGAGGAGCTCTTTAAGACAGACACAAACTTTTCCACGTCTCCTGATCTACTCACCAAAGTGTCTGCATCCATGAAGACACATTTGCTATACTGAGTAAGAGTCCAACAGTGAAGCTTAGTGAAGGTTACACCCAGTTCTGGCCTCTGCATCAGAGCCAAATGGACTGAGTCAGCACTGTCAAGCACATCCACCTCAGTTACTTCATCAAACACGCTGCGGAGAACAGACCTTCCAGAGCCAGCAGTGAAGAAAAAGAAGGGAATTTAGTGAAGTTCATCAGAGTTCACTTCTGGCATGACACACAGCACAACATTTTTATGACAACATCAAAGGCTAGATTGATTGGTTAGAATGAGAAGTCAAAAGTCCTTGTAAACAACCTCCTGAAGTGGCAGCTGTCAAGCCATAAACCATTGCCTCTTCCACTACAAGGCCAGCACATCTCCAAAGCAACAGGTGCTGTATGGAGGAGAAACCAATCCTTATTTTAGTTACTTAATCTCCTATGGAAACACCAAGATAAATTAAAGCAGCTTTCATCCTGCATAATTGTCTCTGAAGAACAGCACCATGCTGTGCTCCCTGTGCATTGTACAGGATGTGGCACGTACTGTCAGCACAGTCATTTGCACCTATTGTGCCCAAGTAAACACAGCTTCAAAACTGCACCTTTTAAAACAGGCAATGCATGATTGCTCACTTCCACAAATAGTCTCACATGAGACTTTTAGGAAAATATCTTTTTTCTATGCATATCTTTAATGGGAATTTTACAGGTGATACTAAAGTATGCAGTTTTTCTTCAAGAGACAAGAAAAAAGTCTTTTAAACACAGCTTATTTATTTATATTATCCTATTAATTAAAAAGTTCTGGATGTCATACAAACAGAAAAAGAAAAGCCTGTGCTGATTACCTAGACTTTAAAATAATTAGATTTTGCTCAACTCATCTTCAGGAGACAAAAGTTAACTGAGAAAGACATAAGAGTAGGTAGAGATTTTTAGAAGCATGTTTCAGTGATGTACTTTTAAAAAAAAAATGCTATTCTTTAATAAAAAAAATATATAAAGGTATTTTTCCTCACTAAATGGGGATGAAAAAAAACTGATGAACTTAGTATTCATCCATGTGTCAAATGTATACAGTATTCCCTTACAGTGTTCTGACAAAATTCATACTTTAAAAAAAACATGATAAAACAGATTTCTGTACACCTAATCACAGAAAAATAGGAAAATGTTTCTTGAGCCAGGTGTATTGCCAATGTTTTCACATGGCATACAGAAAACAGGAGTTTGCACTCTTCCTAAGCCATATCAGAACTAAGAGTTTAAGTCATTATGGAATGTCATGTTCCTTTTAACAAGCAACACAATCCTCCAAACAACAGGCCTTGAGTTCAATAGATCGAATGAGATTTCTGTTCATGCAATTCTGTAGTGGCTGTAGAATCAAAACCTGAACTGGAAACAGATTATCACTTAAAATAAATAAATAAATAAATTCATCCAGATAGCCATGCATTAATATTTTAAGATTATTAGTCATCTGAAACTGAGCCCCTGAATTTTTCTGAGAGCTCTGATGTGACAGCCAGTTATGTATCGTGCTCTTTCTAAAAGAAAAACACTTGGGGGAAAAAAAGCAGGACTGCCTTTATTTCAGCACAAAAGCAAGACACTAAACCCTTAGTTCCCAGACTTTCAACTTATGTTCCCAGTTATGTGCTTAAGACAACTTCCAGCCACAAGATGTACTTCTGCAAGTCCATTCTTACTGAGCTTACAATCTCATAATGGATGTTATTTGGGGCTCCTCTCAGAAACTGCTAGCCAAGGGGGAACTTCTAGACATATTATTGTGAAATCCACGGGAAGTCTATTAAAATATGTCATGCTGGTGTTTATTCTTGCACATTATCAGCCTCCAAAAACACACCAATCCTTACCTCATCCCACTGGAAACCTCTGGTGTAATTAGTACTGCCAGTTTTCTAGATGTTGTATGGTTCCTCAACGACTGTCCAAGAACCAAAGCACCTTGACAGTACACATCATTGGTAGCAAGGGTCACAAAGGCCTGGTCTGTTACTGTGAGAAAGCATTCAGAAGAGTTACTTTACAGCTCTAACATAAGCTCTTTTGTCAGGTTCCAACAATCCCCTTCCTTCAGCCAATCCACAGGCTGCAGCTTATAACAACCTGTAGCTCCTGTGATAAGCTCTTCTCTTCCCCAAACTCCCCCAGAAGGCACAACTCAACAGGAAATTCAGAGGTTTGCAGAGTGTATGTTTCTGGATTTGTTGCTCTCTGTTTGTTTGATTTACATAATAGCAGATACAAAGTTTCTGGAGGAGCCTTGAACAAATAATTCCCCAAGCTTTATTGCCTAAACATAATGTCAAACAGAAAGGCCAATATATAAATGTTTACATTTTACATGTAACTAATATAGTATAATATAACCAATAAGGAAAATGCTCCTGGTTTATACAGCACCAAAAGCTAAGGAAAAAAACCAGGATATTAAGTACTAGCCAAAAGTGTCTGTTTTTCCATGACCTCACTGAACCAACCTAACAGGCATTCTTTGATCTGTCCTTCTTGAATGGGAGTAACTGGTGCTGGCTGAACAAACGCAGAGAAATTGCTACTGGGACTGGTACATCTCCCAGAAGCTAAGGATCCCTACCTCAGGTAACTCCAAGACAATGAGGAATGTTTCTCATTTTCAAGAAACACTAGGGGGAAAAAAAGTTACAACAGAAGAGAAACCAAGCTGCATGTCTACACAATAGCAGACATAATGTATTTTGTAGAGATACCAGGCCTGTGGCAGTATCTCCAGGAGCTGGTTTTTCAGCTCTGCCCTGTGACAGAACCACTGCTACCAGGGTTCTCCGAGGGAGAGCCAGAAGCTACAAGTCAGCAAGGTGAACAGCAGCCTCAGAAGTAAGCAGCAGAAGTAACACCTCAGCTTTCTAGGCTGCAAAATTACCAAAACGAGATGAGTGGGTCCCAGAGATGAGGAATTCCACTGTGGTCTACAGAGCTTCAATAAGCACTTGTGTTGAACTACTTGTTTAATACCACCATCTTAAGGGACAAGCAATTATGTTAAATAAATTAAAACCACCAAACAATAACAACAAAAACATCCTGTTGTACAGTTTCCAGGCTCTGGAAGAGACACTGGGAAAGAATCTCACCAAACCAGATGCAGAGAACCCAACAAATGACCTCACGGCTCCCTCAGCCAGAGGCTGCCAAATTGAATGATAACCAGGTTAGAGTTTTGAACTCGTGGTGCCACTGACAAGCACTCAGGTAAAAGTATTCTCAATTTTCATATCCTCCAAATCCAGAGCAAAGCACAGACCCACTGGTGTGCTGTCATCTTCCCCACTTTTTGCCCTGCCTCCCACTCTTCTCCAGCCAGACCTAAGTTCAAATCAAGCACATACACCTTATGCTTGCTGACACTGCAACAGATCCCTGCACCTCAGGAGAATCCCAGTAGTGTTAAATTTGGCCCAAAAAACCTGAACCATCCATCCAAAATTAAAACTTAAAATCTCTCAGATAAGGAAAGTCAATAACATTTGTAATCACAATTTCCAGAAGAACCAAATGAAGAAAGGAGATTTCAAATCTTCCATTATCATAAGAGCTGAAGCGAGTGACACGTGTTCCAGAAAACAGTGAATAAGGAGTTGCTTCCATGGAGTGGTTAAAAAGACAGATGTGCAAGTGAACTGTTCCTACTTCAATTTTCCAAAAGGTTAAATGGATAAATATAAGCATACATTATAAAAAATAATATAAAAAAATAATCAAACCAAGACAACAACAACAAAAAAACAACCATGGAAGACTACTTTAGCCATAAAGTTATTTGAAAAAGCCACAAACAGTCAGCAAATAAAAGCACTTTTGTGCTACACAACAGGCATCTTTAGCCAAAAAAAAAGGTAATAAAACAACTACTGAGAGGAATGTGGGAGGTAGGTTAATAAAAAAAGCAAACTGTGAAAGGAGTGGGAGATTCAATAACAACCACAAAACTTAAAACATAATCTTCTGACTGTTTCTGAAAATTCTTTCAGCTACATAAGCTGAATCTTCATATAATTAATACATCTAAAAATACACAAGCCACTCATGCAATAACTCAGCAAGTTGGTATGGCAAATTACCACATCCTACATATGCTTTCATGCCCTGTACCTCCCAGGCTAAAGCTGTAGCCAGAACCACAAGGAAGCAAAATGCCAAAGACATACATCTTCTAAGAAACTCTTGCTAATACCCTGCACAGATAATAAAGCCATTGTCTCTTTTGAGAATACACTGTGGGATACGTATTTTGGCCTTCTTAATAGAGTGAGTCATCACTGAGATAATTAAATAGGTAATTGACTAAAACTGTGCAACATTAACATATTGCTGGTGCAAAGACAGAAGCACGTCATAGGCATTTTAAAATCTTACAGAGGGATCACTAACCCATTAAAGATCCACGGGAGTTGTAAAAAAATCAAGATTCTATAATTAATTTTTCTTTCCCTGTTTTCAAGGGAGAAGTGTTACTTGACTTGCCTCATATAGAAAGCTCTGTGGAACACTGTCCCTATAGGTAAATGTTTCATTTTTAAAACTGGAAACTAAGAATCAGATTTTCATATAAACATATGAAAGTAAACACTTTGCCTGAAAACTCTCATTTAACAGAAACCAAGGGCAATGCTGCATTAAATCTAATGCACACAGGGTTTCATCTACTGATTTTAAGCTGAAGAAGATTTAACCTTTAAAAAGTTTGAAGGCCAAAAGTGTAGGTGTTTAAAATTCATTGAAACTGACTTTTTTTAAGTGTCAGGTGCAGCTCTATACATAACTTTTGGTTCATTGTGCTGAACAACAATACGATTTTTCATGGAAAACACCTAGTGTGAGCAGTGTTTTCAAGCAAATTGTTTTCAAGCTTTGGAACCCTATGGCTAATACCACTGACTTTCACTGAATTATGAGGAAAGAAAGCATATTATAAGAATTACATTAAAACCATATTGTATTTTTTTTTCATCTACTCATTTCTCTTGCCTGAATTACCACACAGTACATGAAGATGCAAATTCAGAAATCATTGTCAGCAATGGCTCCTCAGTTTTAACACCTAATGATAGTTTCTCAGAACAAACCAAGGATTTTCAAGCTAATAACTTTGGTAGATTATTTTAAAGCCCACTCTGCAGCTACAGGTAACAACACAGAAGAGACAGCAAAATTCACTACAATCAGAGTGATTTTATGTGGAAACCTGTTGCAGTTTTTAGCCAAGATCACCAGCTTCATATGCTACTTACTCATAGCAGAAGTTCCTCTGACAATACAGCCAGAGGCCAAATTCAACAGGCTGAAAACTAGTTCTGGGGCAGCTAAAAATCTCGATTTGAATCCAAACCAGGAAGCAGACAAGGGGGTGTGCACTTGATTTTCAAAGGGAAAAAAAAAAAAAAAAGAGTGAATGAATACAAAGTGCCCTCTGATAATCAGGAGTGTCTCATAATAACAGGCACTGAATGAACCACATGCACCTGACAACTTCAAGACAAGTTTAACTAGGCCAGATTTTTATTTTTTTTCCACAGTCCATTTTTAAACCTATTTCAGTTTTTCTTCTGGTAGACAGAGAAAGGACAAATGTGCTCCAGCTGTGGCTACTAGAATAACAAATCAAATTTGCCAAGCTGACTACTCCAAAATTACAATAGGAGACCAGAGGCCCATATGTTAAAACTCTGAGAGGCTGGTTAGGTCTCCACTATGTCCTGCCATTCATATGAACTGCAGTTGTATCATTGCTTTCTTAAACTCCTCACTAGTACCATCTGTTGTTCTTTTGTCACCTCCCCCTTCTACTTCAGATACAATCTGCAGGACGAGCGAGCTGCAGCCTGGACCTGTGCCCACGAGTCCAAAGCACCCTTCTCCAATCCCTCTCAGCAATGACTTAACACCTCCCCAATTCACATCACTTTTTCCAACAACAACTGTGTTACTCTCCCTCCTTCACGTAGGTCCCTCTGCATCCTACCCCTAGGCAGGGAGTGCACTAGACTCCTGCAAAGATAAAGAAAGCTACAGGCCTTCTCACTTCTCTGACCTAGTAAAACCTAGTATCAGAAGCACTTGGCACAGGAAGCTCAGCCCCAGCAGACACCTTAAAAGCACTCCAGAAGTATTTTGGCATATGGAGGTAAAATGAAGCATGATGCCAGACAATAACCTATGTCAGCCCACCATCAGAAATTAATATGCAAAGTTTTCAGCAGAAGCAGCTCATGCCCAAGGAAACAAATGACAGGGGCCATTTTGATTCCCGTGCTTCTTTGGTCTGGGTCCTATAGCAGTAACATTAACATTACTGATAAAGACAGCACAACCAACAGCATTACAACAAGCCTTTCTATAATGGCATATAAATTGACACTCCATGGCATACAATACTTCTCTTGGTCTAACTAAGGTCTGCCTGACCCAAAACCAGATTCTCTCTTACCCTTTATTAAAACAACACCGACTTTTAGTAGGCAGGATTACAACTGTTACCTCGGGGGCTACAGAAAGGGGAAGTCTCATTGAGTGTAGCTTTTACTGTGTATCTTTTGGTTAAGAACAGTTACATTCTGCTTCAAGACCCCGCAGTTTTATTACTCAACCGACAGTAAATTATAATTGTGAAAATTCAAATGCAGCAATATTATATTGTGCAAACAAGCATAACACAGAACCCAAAGCTGGTCCCAAAACAGTAACACACCAGTTTGAAAAAAAAAAAAATTAGCACTAGTTGCTTAAGCAACCCGCACGGAGCAGCTGACAGTTCAGGTGTCGCCAGTCTCTCCACCGTCCTTCCAAAAGCAAAGCAAAACCCAGGATCCTCTAATGCTGTGACCCGCAGCCCCCCCTTCCCGCACTGAGGTGCCAGGCACCTGAACCCAAACTGGCCGGACGCCTGAAGGAGAGGGAGGGACGCGCCCCACTCAGCAAACGTGGCAGCACCTGCACCCACCCCCTGCGCT